ATACAGTCGTAATACGCCGCAAGAGTCCCAGCGGGGGAGAGATCGTCGAATTCCTTCGTTTCATCCCCCGCGGTGTGATACATTCTGGCGCGTTATTATTTTCCCTCTCTCTCCCCTTTTTTCCCTCTCTTCTCTCTCTCGCTCCCTCGAGCCGTTACCGCCACCGCTACAACGTTACGACGGCATCGCATCAGACATAATAATTACTCGTCCCGTTCGGCCGCTCTAATGGATATCCCGACGATCACAATGAGGCGACGCACCCTTTCGCGCGCAGAACACAGACGCGGACGTACACGCGTGTAAACGCACGTAAAATAGCGCGGGCGCCCCGCGAAGCGGAACATAAACACATGTCTGCCGTTCGTGGGCTGAAAGAAAGGAGGAGCGCGAAGAAAAGAGAGGCTGCAGCACAAAACGCGCGGCTCCTATAGCGGGGGTGCTGGGAACATTCGTGTCTAGACTAGGTGGGTGCGCGACGAAAACGCGGGAGATAAAGGCGCCTGCACACCTGAATGCGTTAAAGTCTCGCCTCCGTTAACGACCCCTTTTGCGTTTCTCCTCTTCTGGACCCTCTGCCGGGTCTTTCCGCGATCCTTATTTGTCGCCCCCGTGAAATGAATCGTCGTCCGCGATTTAGGGTGCACGCAGAAAGAGGAAGGATGAAGAAGTGAGGTACAGTCGTGTCTCGAGACATGTGAAATTTGCATGGGACGAGAGATGCGTCTTCGTCATCTGCCGTTCCCGAGATGATTTGTCGCGTCGCAACGACGTGTTCGCGAATTACCGCGTCAAGGAGGGACACGGAAGCGACGGTATTTTTCCCGTTCCTCGGTATCTCTGTCGACGGGAGCGCGAACCATCACACGCAAATACAATGCCGGTCTCGCGTGAACTCGTTGCGTCACACGCCTCGCTCGCGGAGACTGCGCGAAGCGGATGGACACGCGATGTCAAGTCCCCTAGAAAATTTACGCGCTTACACCCATGTTCCCGGACCACTCCTGGATTACATTCAGCACCTCTGCTCTGCGACCGCCATAATTCAATCCCCGACCAGGCCAGGATGCCCCTGACAGGCCACGGGTTATTCGCAAACGCGCGGGGTCAGCAGAGAGGACCGATAGAACGTTGGCGTACACACTTGCACACACACATATATACACATACGCGCGCGCGCGCGCGCATACACGGGTGGCGTCGTGTTGCGGGGGAAGGGTGGAGGACCGTTGCTTTTTACGAGCCGCGAACTTCGGAACTGGGTCAATCTCGCAGCCGCGACCGCGCGCCTCGCAGCCATGGAAGCGTGTGGGGTCGGTGGGTCGAATGGAATCCTCGTAACTGATACACAGGGGTGAGTCACAGCGGCGTGTGCGTACTGCTGCGCGTCTTCGATCGCCGGGGTATTGTTATGGATTCCGTCGCACTCTCTCAGTCCCGATATGCTCGGCTGAATATACCTCGAGTCTCGCCAGAGAACGGGGGTGTACGCCTCGAATAGCAGATAACGAATCGCCGACGTTACATCCAAGTTACGTTCGAAGATACATCTCCGTGACGTATTGCTCCCGTAGCAACGCTACGGAATTCCGCGTTTCCCGATGTATGCGTGTATGTGTATGCGAGTTGCGTGTATGTGTGAGGGAATAGGGGAGAGGGATGTACGTTACACGTACGTTGCGGTGTTTTCTTTGCGTCTCCTTCCGGATCACCCAATTTCCCGACGATCTTCCGAAGCTCTCTCTCTTTCCCTCTCTTTCTTTCGCCTCCGACCCGCATACCTACTCCCCGGCAGTGAGGGGAAAATTTGCGCAGCGGCCTTCCACCGGAGGGGCGCCTGTCACGGTAGTAGTAACAGTAGTATAGTAGTAGTAGCAGTAGCAGTGGCAGTAGTAGTAGTGGTAGTAGTAGTGGTGGTGATGGTAGTAGTCACGGTCAAGACACCGCCAATCCGGCAATGCAAAACTCGGTATCGGCGACGGCCAATGGAAAATCGCGCGACTTCTCAAGCAAGAAGCCCCTAATGATCGGCGCGAGCGAGAATTACGGTGGCGGCGCGGCTGAGAACGGTGCCACTACAGCACCGACGCCAAGTAAAAACGAATAGCGCGCGGACGGAATTGGCGAGAGAGAGGGTTAAAACGGGGTAGCGCGGAGAGGGGGGAGCAGGGTACACAACGAGAGAACGAGACGGCGGCAGCGGCGGCGGCGGTGGGTAGGGGTGGTACCGGGATGGAGCCTGCACGGAGAGGTTGCTGTCGACGCCCTGCCGCGCTGCTTCCTGGTTTCCCTATATTGATTTTCCACCGTCACGCCGCGCGCTAGACAGAGACGGAAGGTAGCCGAGAAACGTCCCTCTCTCCGTTTCTCCCTCTGTATGTTGCGCCCCCGCGTGCTGCTGTGTGTATATGATGTGTATATGTGTGTGTGTGTGTGTGTGTGTGTGTGTGTGTGTGTGTGTGTGTGCGCGCGCGCGTGTCTGCCGTGCACTTATGGGCGCGTGGGTGTTTGCACGTGTACGTGTGCCGGCGCGTGCGCCCGTGTGCGTGCGACCCGGGAGAGGGAAGTGGGTTGGAACCCGGGTGGGAGACCAGAGCAGGGCCCGCGCGGTCGTGTACGAGGAACGAAGAAGTACGCGACCGACGGGGTTGCGGGCGGTGCGAAGGGGACACGTTCGCGGAGAAGGTGGGGCCACCTTTTGCACCTCCACCGGTTGTGCCAGCGTGGAAAGATGGGCACGATTATTCGACATCAGGGGCCCACCCCTTTCGCCTCTCTCTTTTCCTCTCTGCTCCATTCGTACGGTATACTCAGTATTTCCCCCCTTTTACGTACCCCGTCCCCCACCGCGTTGACCAAATAAGTGTCACGGTCGTTTCCTTCCAGGACGACCACGACGACGACGGCGGCGGAGGCCGCGCTCGCGAGCGTGCATCGGCGTAAATTTTAATATTGGTCCTGCACGCGCGCAAGATGCGCGAGGATTATCACGTGCTTCGCGAGATTTATTAGTTGTCTGTCGTTATTTGCGCGACTTGAGGGGTCCATTGAGCAACGCGGCGCAACCAGCGCGATCTAAGACATCGTGTCGGTTGGACTGACGATTATCACTAACGTTTTTCAGGACAAACGCGTAGAAACAGAGCGTTTATCGTCTCGGACGCTCTTGAACTCCGTCCGCTCGAAGGTGGACCAAGGGGAAGCGAAGTTCGTTCGCGCGAATGGGCATTCCTCGCGCACACCACGGGCTGTCGCCCGTTATTTTTCGTTATATCGGCCGTTCTTCTCAATTGGTCACCTTCAAAGACTCCTGGCTACCCTCCGTTATCGCGTCTCACCCATTTCTTCGCCCCATAACTCCTTGTCTACTTCCTCCGCGAGACGGTAGACGCGCGGGCAGGAGGCAACGCGAATGGATGGTCTCCTGCAGAGAGAAGACCCGTTCTCGCGGATGACTCTCAATAAACACTTGTCGAACCACGTGAAAGAGTTATTTCTCGTCTGCGCCCCAACGCGCGACGGAACTACACACGCTGGTCAAGCTAGTTACGCGAAGTAAAACGAAGCACTTTCGCTGGATACATTTCCTAAGTATTATTCTCGGTTATCCGGGGTTTGTTTGTAGTCATTCAGCAGATATTCATCGTTTATCAGAGCCACAATCGCGTGTTATTTCGAGTGGTCGAAATGAGCGGCACAGTAAATCTCCGTGTAACAACACGTATATCGATCAAAGGACCTTCGACGTAGACGTCGCTCTGATTTTATCGCGCTGAGATTATTAATCTTCGAGGACCGGCTTTTTTACCGAATCTCCTCCTGTGCGCGAGGAAGTCGGCAATTCCGTGTCGTGACGTTCGAAATGAAAGGGGCCGTCGGGCTTTATCAAACTTTCGTCGGCAACACGATATTTCGGGCGAGCGCGATAGCCGAAATAAAGGAGGGGAAGCGGATGTGCATTAAGGGTGTGGCGGCGATGGACTTTTGAATACATCCCCGCTTTAACTGCGCTCCGATTCGTTACAAGTGGTCTATTACAAGCCTTTCTCTCTCGCGTCTTTCTCCCTGCTCCTACCCTGTACTTCTTTCCCGCCGCCGTTTCTCCCCGAAGTGGCAAGCTTCCTTCTGCAGACTCTCCTTCTCTCTGCCGGGAACGTTTCTTCTCTTATCGTTTTTCAACTTCTTCGCTTCACTTGTCCTCCTTCTCGAGACCGCTTGGCTGGCTTACCAGTATTTCGCCCAGAACGCGCGCTATTTCGCTCACGCCGTTAGAGAGAAAGGCTTTCTCCTCTAACCAGAAATAAATATCTTACCTCAGAGTGCGCGCGGCGGAAATTGAAAGATCCAAAATTCATGGCGTTTTGCGCGCGAATATTTTGTATATTTCCACACGGCATTTTTCAGCGCAGTTACCGCCGTGTTTTCTGTTATTACGCCCGTCGGGACAATCGTTGCAATAGAAGCTGTGAATTGTCGCCCGCGCGAAATTGCGAGTCGCAATAATGGAAAACAAACACTCGATCGCCGGTATTTGTCAATATATTTTTACATTTAGATGCGCTATTCGTGTGCTCATCGTCTCACTCATCGTCTTAGTTACATATTATCCATCTAAAAAAATATAATCTTATTCTTAGCGGAATCCTCTTGCATGTAGCTTCAGGAAGATTCTTCTAAAACGAAAAAAAAAATATTCTAATATCCACAAGAAGGAACTTAAGTTGCAAGTGTTATTTCCTGTAAACCCATATTCTAAAAATTTCCATTAAAGCAATATTCCTCTTCTAATGAAGTGAACTTTATATATTAGTCGGAAATCTATTAGATATTATTCTAATTTTTTTCCTTTTGAGTCAAGAGAAATGTTTATTTGGAGCAAGAATGTCTTACTATTAGAAGAAATTTCTTCTAAAAACCACACTTGTACCGTAGACGATAAGAGACGAAATTTCTCCAACTTTAAGAATATTGTGCTTAGAATATTTTCCTTTCGGTTTTAGAAGAACCCTTTTGAGGCCATATATAAGAGGATTCCGCTAAAGGTGAGATTATATATATTTTTTGGGTGTCTTGGGTGTTTTGTGTGTTATGGTGTCTTATTCACATACATTATACACATCTATGTACTAAAGAAAATGAGGATATCATTTTTAAATCAGATTGTCTTACACGTCGCGCGCTAGACATCGACATTTAGATAGCTCTCTCGTGCAAGACACGACGCGACCATCGAAGTGCAAGTAGCTATTATGAAAATAATATCCACGGACTCGTTGATATTTTCCAGGATCGTATGACGGCTAATGGAAACTCACCGTTGGACAACATGAGGACCTTGGAACACTATCTGAGCGACATTATGCGAGCCGGCGCGGCGGACACCCAGGAACATCTGAAAGGTATGTCTCATATGGCCGTGAGCCACATGCAATTGACGCGATATACAACACGGGAGCGTGCAATATCCGCGGCCGCACGCGAAATAACGGCTCCAGGATGCTGGCTGTCAACAGCCGGTTGAACCGGAAATGCGGAGAATCCCGCGAAATCTCGCGCGCGTCGCGGTTGTACATCATCGCTCTCTCTCCCTCTCTCTCTCTCTTTCCCTTTCTCTCTCTTTCTTTCTCTCTCTCTCTCTCTCTCCTCTCTCTCCTCTCTCTCTTTCTCGCCCCTTCGTGTTTACAATGACCGGGAATGCCCTAAGAATCCGACGGAATGTTTCGCGAGAGATCGAGAGCTGCGTTACAGCCCCGGCGATTAACTTTATCCCAGACTCGAGCGCGATTTCGACTCGTCAGAATTTTGACGTCCCTCGTTGAGGAGAATTTCCGCGGTTACACACGGGAATGTTGTTCCCGTCGAGAGCGAAAAGCGCTCCCGTGATAGTTCGAAAAGGCATACAAACGTGGAATTATCGGCTTTGTGTGCATCAGTTTGCAAAGCGAGCTGATTTCATTCGGTACGACAGATACAAATAGTTACGAGGAAAACAGTGCGACTTTTGCGAAGTTGCGGGTACTTGCTAAGTGTTTCTCGTTCCTCACAGTAGACACTCTTGAGATAATTGCACTTTGCGAGCTGACAAATTTATCTGCCCGCCGTATATTTGGCATTGCATCGTACAAGAAGGTGACATGCTTTCGCGGAGATCTGTCTGCATTGACGGATTTCACCGGTGAGTTGCTTGATTCATCATTCCAACCTGTTTTTCCGTTACAGACATGTACAGTCCCGTCACGTATATGACAGCGAAACTTGACGTTTTTTGCGTCAATTACTTATGCATATTGATGTAGCACTACGCTTATAATCGTGACTCTCTCTCTCTTTCTCTCCCTCTCTCTCTCTCTCTCTCTCTCTCTCTCTCTCTGTATATATATATATTTCGTATATACATCAATCTTTCGTCGTAACGTCGCATTTAATGCACCGTTTGATTACGTTGCGCCGAGTCTACGTCTATTAGACGGAGAGTGCACTCGGGGTCGATCGCCTCGATGTGAACTCTCGTAACTGTGCGATACGACATTACAAAATGGAAAGCAAATTAGCCCGCGATACGAGCGCGGAGATCTACGAAAGTATCCATTCGTCGTGGTACTTTCTCTAAATTCCGACGTTACAGTAAAGCAGCGCGAATGATCCTATAAAGTTAACGTGCGCGTTAATACTATAGCCAGCACGACGCGATAACGTTCGACGTTGGGACTCCGGCAACGACAGCAACGCGCCTTTGATTGGGACGTGTTCATCTTAAATAAAGCGGCGCGTTCTCGACGTAAAGAAGCTTGTCTACATTTCCTTTCCATGTTCTTTCATTGCGAGAACTGTCGAGATAAATTCTAAGACAAGATAGCTGACGGGATTATCGGTATGACAAATGATATTCAACGGTCAGAGGTGGTAGCTCTCGCGCTTCGACGATCATCGTTTGCAAAATGCTACAACACGACGATACGACTGCGCCGATCCTTACATGAATGGGCCTCTAGCCAAGTAGTAACGGAGGGGGGCACGGGAGGCTGCGAGGGAGAGGTCGCGACCGAACAACTAACCAAGCAACCCGACCAACCAACCAACCAACCCCGCGCGCCGTGCGACCACTCGACGCACCGTCGGAGCACTCTGCACCCTCCACTCGACGCGACTCTACTCACTTTACGTCGGCACGTAGAGAGACGCCATGCAACTATGCGGTGCCTACGATGTACGTACGCACGTACGGACGTACGTAAGGACGGACGGACTGACGGATGAACGCAAAGCGGAGTTGAGAAGAGGAAGACGGCGAAGGCTGCGGAGGCAGGACGGTATGCGTCTCGCCTGTGTCGTGCCCCCTACCCCTTTCGCTCCCCATTTTCTTTTTTGCGCCTACCCGACCTGTCTGCCGGCTAGAGAGAAAGCCGACAACCCCCTCAGACGAGCGTTCTCGCGCTCTGCAGTCAAGGGCAAGGGTGCCATCGCCGAGGGTCTATCTCGACGGGCAGTCTCCGCACGACGCGAAACCGTATGACAGCCGAGTGAGAAAGAGAGAGAGAGAGGGAGGAAGCTAAAGAGGGTGGACGGGTTTGGGGGTTGAACAACTCGACGCGAGATCTCGGATTTTTTCCCTAGCGGACTTCAAACAAACCTGCCTGCCTGCCTGCCTGCCTTGCCCACCCATCCGATTCTGAAAGGGTCCGCGCCACGTCACCGCGAAAGTCTTCTTCTTCTTCGAAACGCGGGGGCGACCGGACAAATGGGACAGCGCTGAATTCAGCGGAATGTCTATAGCCCAGCGTCGTTGGTTGGGATTTATCGATCGCGCCGTGCTTCTAGGGTAGACAATGCGAGCTCTGAGCTACCTACCGACGGGTCACGGAAGAGAGTAACCTGGATTAGGTGGGTGTATGATAGCCGGGTATCTTTGTTCCTTGGAGGCACGGTACATTACTGAAGTCGCCGAGCATTCATCGAGGAATTAGGACGATGTGATAGAGTGTTAGTGCACGCACACACACTCTCTCTCTCTCGCTCTCTCGTTCGCTTCCTTTCTCTTGTCTCTGTCTCTCGGTCTCTTTCTCGCGGCACTATCGGAATTATTCCTTTTTACCCTTAATGAGAACGTTGTTATAGGCGATGTAAGAAGAAGGAAGCAGAGGAGGTTCCTTTTGTTCGAGAAATTAAGAGGGTCAGCTCTCGGGCTGATTCCTTTCAATTATTTTTCCATTGTAACGATAATGACTTCGCTCATTACATATTTCGTTCGGCTTGCGAAAATGGACTTGTTTCTAAGTTGTGTCGCGTTATCGATCGGGGACACGCGGAAGAAGGGGGATTAGCACCAGCACCTTCGACGTGAGCCGAGGCGTTTATTGTTTCGTATAATTATCTCGAAAAGTGTTAGGTTAATGTCCGCGGTATTTGTGGCGAGGTGCTATTGTTTTGATCCACAATTAAAATCTGATCCGATCAGGCAAAGAGTTAAATAACTATGTCGAGACGTGGAAAGCAAAGTTGCGCGTCGAGGACAGCAAAGAGTGTCAACTTGTCATAGAAGAACGAGAAGTGCAAAGAAAAGGCGAACGATAGCTCTTGAGAAAGTAAATAATGAAGTGGATGATTAGTGAGGGAAAGGTTGAAAAAATAGGGAAAGAAACAGGAAAAGAGGAAGAGAGAGAAAATTTAGAAAAAATAGTCACTTTCCAAAATTTGCTCAGAGAAAAAATATCTAAGAAATAAAAAGTATTTGTTCGATGAGTACTAAAAAATAACATATTTACTTATACTAAATATTATTACACTATATAAAATATAGTATATTTTATATATATATATATATATATATATATATATATATATATATATATATATATATAT